ATCTTGTCTTCATTCTGTGAAAGTTTCACGAGGAATGGATATAAACTAGTGGAGTTATTCAAAAAAGTATTGAGAAAAATTGCGTTATGAGAAAACGGCCGATAAAGAACAATAAAATACTGTCTTTATGAGGAAATGGTGGTGACAAACATGCTCGGTAAGGGAAGAAATAAGGCTTTTAGAGGTTCTTATGCGATGGAATACTTGTAGGGGAGGCTGAGGAAGGTAAAAATGGTTACTGCTCAAATTCCATAATTTTGAGCCGAATCGGGACTTTGGGGGACGTAGAGCAAACTCCACAAGGAGGAGAAAAAATGTCAAGTAGAAAAAAGCCAAGCCAATAATTGCCAACTGAAAAACTGCTGCTAATTTTGTGGAAAATACTGACTGTTTTTGTACATAACTTATTTCACCACATGTACTGTCAAATAAGAAATACACTGGTATAAGAATATACTACAAACGACTGACTGTTAAATGCACAAAACCCGTAATTATGAAGAGAGATTATTCGCATGATCTGCATATTCTGTACTTTTAAAAATGAGTGTAGAATTGTGCATCATTGCTCTAAAGCCTTTTTTTGGCTCTCTGTCGTTCTTCCCGACCTTTGTGGGTAAATAATAGATCTATGTGTTGAGCGCCTGACAGGCTGCTCCATAATCAAAATGAAATAAAACTTTTAAAAATAAAAAAGTACAATTTTGGAAACAGGGGCTCTCGTGGTCAAGAGGTACAGTGCTTGTCTCTCACTCAAAAAGTCTCGGGTTCGAAACCTGGCAGCAACGGAAAAACATTTCTTCTGGGAATTTTCCTCCTTTCACCCCCTTTCCTGATTTCTAACCATACTATTCTGCTGTCTGCTTTCGTCTCTACTTTCTACCCCCTTCCTTTAGGCATCTCCTCTTGGCGTCTGACTCTTTCTACTGCCTTTCTACTGCTATTCCTAGGGTCTTTTTTACTGCTGTCTTTCAGTCACATCCCTGATCTTTGGGTAGGTAAGATCTAACACCAAGCCTTCTCGGATAAAGGCGAAAAAAATCTCGGAGGTTCCATGTGCAAGTTGCACAGATCTTTTGATGGACGTTAAAGATCCTTTGATGGAACTAAAATGGACGAGAGTAGCCTTCGGCTGACACTTGGGCAAAATTCAAAATTAATTCCTACCAAACTGAAAATGTTTACTGTGTCCTGCGACATTATCTTATACAGCTAAGCGAGCGCCATAAAACACCGACAAAAACAACACAAAACAAAACAAAACAAAACAAAACAAAACAAAAACAAACAAAAATAATAACAATACATATCACCAACAGTGCAGTCCGATATCTGCTCTACCACAGTTAGCCCTTTGAGTTGGTTGGATCTATCTATATAACGTAATAATATAATTACACCGTCTCTGAAGTTACACAACAACAACGCTCCACGCAAGAGGACGGACACCCTCAAAACTGATTAGAGCTAGATATCTAGATCTAGATTGCACTCAGCTCACTGCAAATGGTAGCCTCGTCGTTGAGATATTCTCTTATGTGACGGTGTACACTTAGCCTGACAATCGGGCCAGCTAAATTGGATACGAGTAAGAAATCCAAGGTGATTAATTGTGTTTAGGTATATACAAAATTATTATTATAAATACTATTGAGAGTGTATTAACTCCGACCAGTGTGCCTCAATGACCAGAAGGTTCACTATTCATTATTCGTCGTCAATGTTTTGACAGTCATCAAAACAGTGTAGCCTTCTTCTTCTTCTTGTTCTTCTTGTTCTTGTTCTTGTTCTTGTTCTTGTTCTTGTTCTTTTTCTTCTTCTTCTTCTTCTTCTTCTTCTTCTTCTTCTTCTTCTTCTTCGCTTTCACCATCTGCATCATCATCATCATCATCATCATCATCATCATCATCATCATCATCATCATCATCATCATCATCATCATCATCATCATCATCATCATCATCATCATCATCATCATTATTATTATTATTATTATTATTATTATTATTATTATTATTATTATTATTATTATTATTATTATTATTATTATTATTATTATTATTATTATTATTATTATTACTATTATTATTATTGTTATAACGTTTACCATCATCATCAACAATTTTCTGTCATTATTAGGCCTTTGTCAGGGGCGGCTCGTGGGTCTAAAAAGTGGGCGTGCACAATTAGGTTAAAGCAGGTTGAAGATAGTCAAGGGCATCTAAATTAGATGTTTTCTTCATCCTACCTGTTTTCAGAAAATCTATTTGAAGAGGAAGCTTTCCTTTTGTTCTTTGGCTGGAGCAAAAGTGTCCATTATTATGTTGAAGAAGTTGGGCATGCTGTCAATGATGTCCTTGTGGATCGACATAAACGTACGTCAGTGCGATTTCTGGTATTTTGCATACTTCTCTAAATGATGTCTCGAATTTGTAGTCCTTCAGAGTTGAATAAAGGCCCTGGATTATGCATGTACGACACTGAAGAGATTTAAATATTTCATTGCAATGTAATACTTATAATTCTGTTTGTAATTTGATTTTAAGCAAAACAGTAATATTTCTGTAAACGATCCTAAAAGAACTGTTGGAAACGACTTTTGATACTCCTGGAATTTGGATGAGTCGCAGATTGAGAGTACATTGATTTTATTTTGCTTCAAGAAACTGTCACAATTTGAGTAACTATTATGTCACAGGCCTGCTTTGCAGCAATTTCGTTGGTGTTGTTGTGTTTGCGTCTCTTGGAAGCGTGTTTCTCAGTTGTCTGTCTTGTTGATGGAACAAGTATACTGTTTCTCATTTCATCGACAGCTACTTTAAACGTGTCTAGAACTTGTTAGGCTGCTATGGGCGTTGTACTTCTGTGTTAGAGGATCCCATAAACAGCGTCAACGCGCGTGTATACTTTGTTGAAAAAGTGCAAAAAGAAAGAGAAATGTTTCACTCTTTTATACATTCAGGATACCACCATGAATGGAATTATCGTCCCAGTGCCCAGACTGAATTTTTTCAAGACAGAGCTGGATCTCTCCTTTCCAAATGAAAACAAATTAGTCGAGACTGTAAATTCCACCTTGTTTCAGACGGCCATGAAATATTCCGTTGACAAACGCAGATGCATTTTGTAGAGTGGGCAAAAAATGTCGAAAAGCATGCACAGCATTAGCGAAAAATACCTCAGTTCCCCGACAATTCACCCTTTTCATGACCGCGAAGGGCGAGTTCGTGAGTTTCACAGGACAAAATACACTTGATAACCTTACACAATACGTGCCTGTTCTTTCTCACCAGTTCTTTATTGTGAGACGTTGCAATGCGATGACTTACGACTAGCTGCGCTGCTATGTCTACTTGTCCGAAAGTATGATACTTTACGGCATTTTTTACGTGCGCTCTTGATGACTTTCGACTTTAATGCGTTGTTTCACATGGACAAGATCAGTAAAACCTGTCTTAGACTACTTGGGGTCCTCAGTTCCAAAAGGCAGACAGGAGAAACAGTGGACCTAATCTAGGTCTACAAGAAGTATAATTTGTTGTGTAAGCCACTCCACTTTTTATTCATTGTATTATTGTGATATTCTTAGTTTGGTGAGGACTTAATTCATTCACTCTCTTCTTTTTACTTTGTTTGGTGAACTGAATTTATTTGCCATCAACTTCATTCATCCTGCATTGGAATACACACTCGAGTAATGAAACTTTCACCACAACACCATTCCAACTTCTAACACAATGACCTAATTACGTCATGTTGACCTCGCTCAAGTTCAGGGTTACAGAGGTGGGGCTAGAGATATAAATGGCAAGACAATGGACCAATCGCACATCGCTGGGAGCACTCCGGTGGATTGCTCCAAAGTTATCATAATACGGGCATTGAATTATGTAGGCTGTCAGTGAACTGGTTTGAGATTGCGTTATTTTTAGACTGCTTCTATGGGCTTTGTTCGGCTGGTGCACATCGAGATTGTGCCGCCTTATTAATATTTATGAACTAAGGAACTCGGTCAAAACGTCATCGTTGTTTGGGTCATCCCATAGAGCATTTTCCGAGAGAGATTACACCATTGAACATACTATTTTTTACTTGGGTGAAGCAAAAGAACTTGGTATGGTATATTAGATGTTGTAGAGCTGTTGTAGATGTTGTAAGGAGCAAATAGGCTCTGGCGAGGAACTTGTACGTAAAACTGATTGGATGATGGATGGTAAAGGTTCTTTTGTTGTCACTTTGAGGGTGTTGTGCGCTAAAACTTTTGGGCGGCAGTGCACGACCGTGCTCTATGGACCAGCCGCCTCTGGCCTTTGTTGAATATAAACAGAACGTTTAAAGGCAAAGAGTATATTATTTCACACACGGAACATCTTACAAGATCGGAATAATAAATAATGAAATAAATGAAAACAGGAAAAAAAGCGCGCTAGCGTATCACGTGTAAAGAATGCATCCTGTCTCCTTGAGTCTCTTCCACTGAAAGATAGGCTCTCGAACAGGAATTGCCGCTCTTACAGGACGAAATCTTATCCATCCGACAATTGCAAACTCGGTTCTTCTCGGGGAGTGCCGTTGGTGGGTGGAGGACGCCATTGGTAGGTCTTACTTCAAGCTGACTTCTTTACTTTGCCTCTGTTGTTTCTCTCTGTCTGTCTTACTTTCCCCCAGCACTAAATAGCCATTATTGTGTCGGTGTGCTTCTCTTAACTAAAAAAAAACAACCCCCCCAAACCCCCCCCCCCAACCCCCCAAAAACAACAACACAAAAACAAAACAACAGCAACAGCCACAAAACAAGCAAAATAGGGAAATGGAGTTTGACAGAGAAGGAATGGACCAGATTATTACAAAACTTCCAGAAAGCTGGTGGTGTCACGAGTCGCTACACATAAATGTTCTGCTAAATCGGACACGTGTGTACACTTTGCTTTAGCAAGGACAATCACATTCTTTGTTATCTCGTGCGAGTGGATTCCTCGAGACTCGAGGGTAAATGGGGTTATCTGCAGACAACTTCTTCGTCCGACAAGGAAGGAAAGTCTTGTGACAATGCAAGGGACTGATTTAAATGTTTTCCATTGTTTTGCTTCCCGGTTTCGTGATTTCATCTGTTGCTGCTGATTAAAAGCTTGTACTTTTTTGCTAATTCGGTCATGTGGTCACCTCGGTAAGGTCTAATCTAACATAACGTGCTTGTTTACAAACGCTGAAAACAAAAGAGGTCCGTAATCGTAACTACTGTTTCTATTCTTAATGATGTGCAAGTATTGTCTTTTACCGTGGAATTCACCAAATCTCTGATATAGACGAAGTCTTGACAAGAGCATCCGAATGTGCTATTTTTACACTTATATTGATTTGTAGTTGTAGTCATGGTGCGACGTGGATATTTTATTTCTTAAAATGACTCTAGATATCTCAGTCAATCTTGACGGAATTAAGTTATGGCCCACACAGAACATTTCGAACAAAAAGATCCAGTGATGTGAACTTTCAGCTGGATGAATACCTCCATTTTATGTGCACATATTGTTTGGATTGATTTTTCAGTGGGACATTATTCATGTTGTAAGTACAGGTATTATCTACCTTAGTTTGAGTTCTGCAACCAGCCTTAAATTGAAGCAGTGCCTGTAGTCAGAGTTGTTACAAGTTGTGACGAGCGAGTGGTTGAAAGGCGCCACTGGTATGCGTCCCCTTCTTTACTATTATCACGACGCGGTGGAATCAGCTGCTCGTCAGTTGTTCTTTTTTTTGGAGCATGTGGCATTAGTGTTATCATTTTAAAGTTTTTGTCTTTTATTCGATGTAAAAAAGTACCCACCTATCTAAAACAGAAGTCGAGATATGTTTGAGTAAAGAAGGTGGGGGGTCACCTAGATTCGGAGGTAAAATTATCGAGGAAATGGCCGACAAAGTTTGCTAACTTCCATAGCTTGAGAGTCCTTCATCATCATCATCATCAGGTGCCTTGCCGACTGGCGTGGGCGATCATGGACCTCCACTTCACTCAGTCTTGCGTTGCAGCAATGGTGTTTTTTGTTTTTGCTGCCCCTAGCCATATTGTCATCTTGTCCAGTATCTTTTCCCCCTGTCTGCCTCTGCCTCTCTTTCCATCAAACTTGCCTGTTGTTACAATATTCTCCAATGCTTCTTTCCGCATTGTGTGTCCGAAGAAATTTGCCTGTCGCTTTCTTATATTCGTCATAAGCTGTCTTCTGCAATTTGATTCAACAAAGACTTCTTAATTTGCTTTTCTAGCTGTCCATGAGATACGTAGCATGCGTCTTATGAACCACAACTCTGTCGCCACAGTTGTTATTTCCAGCTGTTTATTGATTGTCCATGCTTCGCACCCATATAATAGGATTGGCTCAATCTAACTTTTCAGTACTCTTTTTCTCGTTTCCAGTGACAGATTGATGTTTGTGAGTATCTGTTTCATTTTGAGGAAGGTTGCTTTTGCTTGGCAAATGCATCTTTTAATTTCGGTGTGACATCTCCCATCTGATGATATAATTGGTCCTCAAATATTTAAATGTTGTACTTGCTTGAGGGTGGTATCATTGATTTTGATATTGCATGTTGGTGTTGGAGTTTTCCTGCTTATCACCATTGTTCCGATTTTCTTGATGTTTAGGCTTAAGCCCATGTTGTCACTCTCTTTTAGGATGACATTTAATAGATTCTAAAGGTGTTCTTCATCTTCTGCTATTAGGACTGTATCGTCTGTATATCTTAGATTGTTTATATCGAGATACCTGGTATTTCTTCTGTGTGTCTCATGATATTTTCACTATACCGGGTGAACAAGTCTGGAGAAAGTACACACCCCTGTCTGACTCCTCTGTTAATCTGTAGGTATTCGCTGATGTCGTTTTCTATTCTCATTGCAGCAGTTTGATCCCAGTACATGTTCTTGATAATCCTTAAGTCCTTCCCGTCAATATTGAGGACTTCCAGCTTGTCGATGATCTTGTCGTGCCTAACTTTGTCGAATGTCTTGGTGTAGTCTATAAATCATAAATGAAGATCTTTCTGAACTTCTAGGGCACGGTCTATTGTTGTTCTGATGACATACACACACACACAC